AATATTCCTAAACATGAGTACCCCTGGGCACTCAAGAAAAGCCTATAAAAATTATAGTAACTGGAAAACTAAGAGTATTAGTAAACAGGAGCACCAGTGGGCACTCATGAGAAGCCAATAAAAATCATAGAAACTGTAACTAAGAATATTCCTAAACATGAGTACCCCTGGGCACTCAAGAAAAGCCTATAAAAATTATAGTAACTGGAAAACTAAGAGTATTAGTAAACAGGAGCACCAGTGGGCACTCATGAGAAGCCAATAAAAATCATAGAAACTGTAACTAAGAATATTCCTAAACATGAGTACCCCTGGGCACTCAAGAAAAGCCTATAAAAATTATAGTAACTGGAAAACTAAGAGTATTAGTAAACAGGAGCACCAGTGGGCACTCATGAGAAGCCAATAAAAATCATAGAAACTGTAACTAAGAATATTCCTAAACATGAGTACCCCTGGGCACTCAAGAAAAGCCTATAAAAATTATAGTAACTGGAAAACTAAGAGTATTAGTAAACAGGAGCACCAGTGGGCACTCATGAGAAGCCAATAAAAATCATAGAAACTGTAACTAAGAATATTCCTAAACATGAGTACCCCTGGGCACTCAAGAAAAGCCTATAAAAATTATAGTAACTGGAAAACTAAGAGTATTAGTAAACAGGAGCACCAGTGGGCACTCATGAGAAGCCAATAAAAATCATAGAAACTGTAACTAAGAATATTCCTAAACATGAGTACCCCTGGGCACTCAAGAAAAGCCTATAAAAATTATAGTAACTGGAAAACTAAGAGTATTAGTAAACAGGAGCACCAGTGGGCACTCATGAGAAGCCAATAAAAATCATAGAAACTGTAACTAAGAATATTCCTAAACATGAGTACCCCTGGGCACTCAAGAAAAGCCTATAAAAATTATAGTAACTGGAAAACTAAGAGTATTAGTAAACAGGAGCACCAGTGGGCACTCATGAGAAGCCAATAAAAATCATAGAAACTGTAACTAAGAATATTCCTAAACATGAGTACCCCTGGGCACTCAAGAAAAGCCTATAAAAATTATAGTAACTGGAAAACTAAGAGTATTAGTAAACAGGAGCACCAGTGGGCACTCATGAGAAGCCAATAAAAATCATAGAAACTGTAACTAAGAATATTCCTAAACATGAGTACCCCTGGGCACTCAAGAAAAGCCTATAAAAATTATAGTAACTGGAAAACTAAGAGTATTAGTAAACAGGAGCACCAGTGGGCACTCATGAGAAGCCAATAAAAATCATAGAAACTGTAACTAAGAATATTCCTAAACATGAGTACCCCTGGGCACTCAAGAAAAGCCTATAAAAATTATAGTAACTGGAAAACTAAGAGTATTAGTAAACAGGAGCACCAGTGGGCACTCATGAGAAGCCAATAAAAATCATAGAAACTGTAACTAAGAATATTCCTAAACATGAGTACCCCTGGGCACTCAAGAAAAGCCTATAAAAATTATAGTAACTGGAAAACTAAGAGTATTAGTAAACAGGAGCACCAGTGGGCACTCATGAGAAGCCAATAAAAATCATAGAAACTGTAACTAAGAATATTCCTAAACATGAGTACCCCTGGGCACTCAAGAAAAGCCTATAAAAATTATAGTAACTGGAAAACTAAGAGTATTAGTAAACAGGAGCACCAGTGGGCACTCATGAGAAGCCAATAAAAATCATAGAAACTGTAACTAAGAATATTCCTAAACATGAGTACCCCTGGGCACTCAAGAAAAGCCTATAAAAATTATAGTAACTGGAAAACTAAGAGTATTAGTAAACAGGAGCACCAGTGGGCACTCATGAGAAGCCAATAAAAATCATAGAAACTGTAACTAAGAATATTCCTAAACATGAGTACCCCTGGGCACTCAAGAAAAGCCTATAAAAATTATAGTAACTGGAAAACTAAGAGTATTAGTAAACAGGAGCACCAGTGGGCACTCATGAGAAGCCAATAAAAATCATAGAAACTGTAACTAAGAATATTCCTAAACATGAGTACCCCTGGGCACTCAAGAAAAGCCTATAAAAATTATAGTAACTGGAAAACTAAGAGTATTAGTAAACAGGAGCACCAGTGGGCACTCATGAGAAGCCAATAAAAATCATAGAAACTGTAACTAAGAATATTCCTAAACATGAGTACCCCTGGGCACTCAAGAAAAGCCTATAAAAATTATAGTAACTGGAAAACTAAGAGTATTAGTAAACAGGAGCACCAGTGGGCACTCATGAGAAGCCAATAAAAATCATAGAAACTGTAACTAAGAATATTCCTAAACATGAGTACCCCTGGGCACTCAAGAAAAGCCTATAAAAATTATAGTAACTGGAAAACTAAGAGTATTAGTAAACAGGAGCACCAGTGGGCACTCATGAGAAGCCAATAAAAATCATAGAAACTGTAACTAAGAATATTCCTAAACATGAGTACCCCTGGGCACTCAAGAAAAGCCTATAAAAATTATAGTAACTGGAAAACTAAGAGTATTAGTAAACAGGAGCACCAGTGGGCACTCATGAGAAGCCAATAAAAATCATAGAAACTGTAACTAAGAATATTCCTAAACATGAGTACCCCTGGGCACTCAAGAAAAGCCTATAAAAATTATAGTAACTGGAAAACTAAGAGTATTAGTAAACAGGAGCACCAGTGGGCACTCATGAGAAGCCAATAAAAATCATAGAAACTGTAACTAAGAATATTCCTAAACATGAGTACCCCTGGGCACTCAAGAAAAGCCTATAAAAATTATAGTAACTGGAAAACTAAGAGTATTAGTAAACAGGAGCACCAGTGGGCACTCATGAGAAGCCAATAAAAATCATAGAAACTGTAACTAAGAATATTCCTAAACATGAGTACCCCTGGGCACTCAAGAAAAGCCTATAAAAATTATAGTAACTGGAAAACTAAGAGTATTAGTAAACAGGAGCACCAGTGGGCACTCATGAGAAGCCAATAAAAATCATAGAAACTGTAACTAAGAATATTCCTAAACATGAGTACCCCTGGGCACTCAAGAAAAGCCTATAAAAATTATAGTAACTGGAAAACTAAGAGTATTAGTAAACAGGAGCACCAGTGGGCACTCATGAGAAGCCAATAAAAATCATAGAAACTGTAACTAAGAATATTCCTAAACATGAGTACCCCTGGGCACTCAAGAAAAGCCTATAAAAATTATAGTAACTGGAAAACTAAGAGTATTAGTAAACAGGAGCACCAGTGGGCACTCATGAGAAGCCAATAAAAATCATAGAAACTGTAACTAAGAATATTCCTAAACATGAGTACCCCTGGGCACTCAAGAAAAGCCTATAAAAATTATAGTAACTGGAAAACTAAGAGTATTAGTAAACAGGAGCACCAGTGGGCACTCATGAGAAGCCAATAAAAATCATAGAAACTGTAACTAAGAATATTCCTAAACATGAGTACCCCTGGGCACTCAAGAAAAGCCTATAAAAATTATAGTAACTGGAAAACTAAGAGTATTAGTAAACAGGAGCACCAGTGGGCACTCATGAGAAGCCAATAAAAATCATAGAAACTGTAACTAAGAATATTCCTAAACATGAGTACCCCTGGGCACTCAAGAAAAGCCTATAAAAATTATAGTAACTGGAAAACTAAGAGTATTAGTAAACAGGAGCACCAGTGGGCACTCATGAGAAGCCAATAAAAATCATAGAAACTGTAACTAAGAATATTCCTAANTTCCTCAGATAATCTTCGCAAATATTTGTCTTTACCTCAGATAATCTTCGCAAATATTTACCTCACACCATCATCGCGAATATTTGCGTTTATTTTAATATATTTTCATATCATCGTGAATATATCCAAATCATCTTCATGAAATTATATATTATTTTTACATATTGCATTTTATATTATTTCCAATAATATATACGAGTTTGACATTCACGTGACGATATATATTACACGCCAATTACTTCTACTTTCCTATTTATTATTCTATATTTTATATTATTTATTAAACATATAACTCAAAACGATTTAGATATCAATAATAAAATATATTTAAAAAGTTTTCTAAAGACTGACATTTGTCTGTAACAACATAACTAAATATTTAAAATACCTTACATGAATAAGGTGTAAATCATATTGAATTAAATTATAGCAAAAAATATTTTTTGAAGTTTTAAAATAATCTATGAAACTTCTCCAACTTGTTCGAGTCATTAGAAAAAAATCTAGAACATTGTTACTGGACTTTATTTTTATTCCTAATAATTGCTATCATCACCTTTAAGTTTTCAGATAGGTTCGCGAGATATTAAGAGAATGGGCCATATCTCCCGAACCAATAATTCGATTTTCCTGAAAATTGCTAGAAAATTTCCTTCCTAATACACAAACCACCCTGCAAAATTTCAAAAATTTTTGACAAAAGGCGCAATAGTTATTAAGCTTTAAATTGGGGGAACAAAATCATGCCTCTCATACACGCACACACATTAATCTCCATACATACAGGAAAAAATCCCTAATTTTTTAAAAATTTCCTTTTGTTTCAATTTCTCCGAGTCCAGAAGTGTAAAAATCTTTGGGAAAGGGTCAATTTTTTTCGACATAATTTCCCTCTGTTTTATAACAACAGGGAAAATGATAACTGCATATCATCCTACTCCTTGGTATAAACAAGATGATAAACTAGATAATAAAAAAGACTCCGGAATGAACTTTATTATTAAATTTCTTTAATTCCTACGATAGCGATGCAATATTAATTATCTTATCGACGTGTTTCGATTAACACCATTTAAACAATAACAATACAGTTTTGAAAGGTAAATTATTATTATTATATAATCGATTTTTTTTATTTTTGTTGGTCACAAAGTAATTTTTATTCAGTTTACAATTAGAATATTTCATGCAATTTAGAGAGAAAGAAAGAAATTTTTAACTGGGAAAAACAGTTAGATTTATATCCTACTTAGCATAATGGAACATTCGCCACTACCCTATCATCTAGAATTCAGTAATAACCCCCCCAAAAAAGGCTCGGTCGTAATCGATCGTAAACTTTCCAAGTAATATCTTTCAATATAACTTTACTAAAATTTAGGATTGAATTTTTTAACATTTTAATGCATGTAAATAACTATATTAAAAAAAAATCGTCTCTACTATTCTGCAGAAAGTAAGTTACATTAAATTGGTGCTTGGAACTCTATCGATGTTTTAAATATTAAAATATATATATAATGTAATATTTTGGATATATATATAATTTAAAACATCCCTTTCCTTTAAAAAAATATATAAATAGCTTTTTTTTTTTAAATTATAGAATGAGCTTTTTGGACAAGAAATTGACAATACAATTTCTGCTGAGGAATCTGGAATTTAATCCGCGCTGATCTCTACTGTACGGTTACAAATTGTTTGTTTTATAATTATTTTTTAAAATTAACGTTTGGCAATTTGTATATATAGTATTTATACACTGAGTTGTCTATTTTCAGGCTTATATTCTTCTATAATGTAGGTCATAGTTGTGTATAATCGGCAATAAGTTAGGCCTGAATTCCATTATGCTACATCTAATTACTTCAGTGAATAAGAAATAGGAAATAGGAATAGGAATAGGAAAAAAAAAATCTGTCACGCTCTACACGTTGCAGTTTGTTCGTTCTAAATTTCCATAGAAGTAGAATGTTCATATTTTTTCCCCTCTATTTTAAAACAAAATGGAGCATTTTTAAAGAATACGCGCCTTTAATTCGCTTGCAAAAAATCAACAAAAATAAACTTGGATGTTGAAACCATTAGGAAACTTTTACTGTGAACGTAGCGGGCGTTTTAGTACTAATAATTTAAAAATTTTCTTATTGCATCTCATAAATTAATGATGCTCCATTGCGTGCGTTGAGGCGAAATTATCAATATTTCATAAAGCATCCATTATAAAAATGATCATTAAAGATTACTTTATTTCTATAAATATTACTGAAACTATTTTTGGTATTTCTTTCCTATTTTATAAGAGGATATTAATCATTTAAAGAATAAATTTAGCGCTAAGAATCGCAGCGCGGCGTCGCGTCGAGCGACGCGAACGTTGCAAAATAATAAGAATTGTATGAATACTGAAGTTTGTCACATTTTTACCCCTGAAATTTCTTTAAGAAAATTAACTTTACGAAGCTTAAATCTTATGAATTTATTTAAAATATCGCGAAAATTGATTGTTGCTGGACTTTCCTGGCATTCCATATATATTTTCGTCTCTAAGAAACGTGTAAAAAAATTCGTTGAATTTCCCGGGTTTTCTTTACGTCTATAACTAATACCTAAATAGGGGCCAGTTTCTCATAAAATAACCCCGGGAGGTAGAGTCGCCCACGTATCGAGTAGGCATATACGAATAAACAAATATGGCCTCATCCCTTTAATATCTCCCGAACCAATGGCCCGATTTTCGTGAAAATTTGTAAGAACATTTTCCCCTAAAATAGAAACCTCCCTAAAAAATTTCAGAAAATTTCGACAAGAAGAACAGGAGTAATGAAGCTTCAAATTGGGAAAACTAAATCGTGCCCCGCACGTACATACAGAAAAATATCCCAACTTTTTTGCATTTCTAGACGTTTCAATACTTCTTTTTTGTTATATAACACCGGAAAAGTAAAATACAAGCAATTGTCCTATGATTTAATAAGCTAGATCTATAACGGTGCATTTAAATTTGCTGCACACTTAAATCCATACAAATTATCTCGAAAATTGTAACTGAAATAGAGCCATTTAGTGTATAAAAAAAGAAGTGACTACGAGAATGTTTAATAAGCATAATAAATTTGCAAGAAAGAAGAATAAAAGAGGAAAAAGAAAGAAAAAAAAAAAGCCAGAATTATTTTCTCAATGATCTCCATTATCCAATCGATAGCTATTTTTATATCCCTTAGCACACTAAATCTAGCATTTTCTTCACGCTCCACGAATTTCTTCACGCTCACGTATATAGATAAGGGTGTAACCAAAGTATTTTCAGAAAGTATAATTTTCTTTAGAAATTTTTATCATGATGATGATAATAAAAGGGAGGAGGGAGAGAAGAAAAAAAATCTTTAAATAGTTTCCATTTCATTGATCATTTTTGTTTGGGCGTTGTCTTCGCTTTTATCTCATTAACCGAAGAATTAAATATCTAAAAATTGTACAGAAAAAAAAAACTGTATTTATTATATTCGGAGATACAAATATAGATAATTCTTTCCAACTAAATTAGAGAGAATCAATCGTGTAATGAATTAATAATGATAATGATCATCTACCTCTTCAATTATTCATGCAAACTACTTGAGTGGGTATTTTTAGAAAGGTAGTAAAAAAACTTTGTTATTTTTTATTATTATTATTATTATATTTCCCCCTTATTTTAACTGTTTCGTATGGTAAAATATGGTTGGCTGATCACTGACAAGTGATAAAAATAAAAGANATTATAGTAACTGGAAAACTAAGAGTATTAGTAAACAGGAGCACCAGTGGGCACTCATGAGAAGCCAATAAAAATCATAGAAACTGTAACTAAGAATATTCCTAAACATGAGTACCCCTGGGCACTCAAGAAAAGCCTATAAAAATTATAGTAACTGTAAGGATATTTCTAAATATGATTGTCCCACGCTTTTATTTTTGGTGGCATAATACCAAGAATACTGTGAAAACCAGGAAGAAAAGTTCTATTTTTTTTTTACTTTTCAGTGCATTTATATGAGTAAAAAATAAAAAAGAACGTGAATTTTTTGAAAATCTCTTTATCAATTATTCAAACAAAGTTAAATGTGACTAGATTACTTTATCTCGTGTAATTTTTTATTGATTAAAAAAAGTGTTTTTCCTTCTTAGAACCTACGCAACTTTCACGCATCCATTTATCAAGAAAATTTAAGTGAAAGCAATGGTCTTCCGTTCACTTCTCTTTTCATTAATCTCATTTTACCCCTTCGAGAAACAGAACTAATAAATTAAATCTTTAATTAAAGCAATATTCTGATACTTTAAAAGATTATAAGTAATTCCTATCGTCGCATCGCGTCGCGTCTCTTCGTATCCACGATTATTATTATTATTATTATTATATTTCCCCCTTATTTTAACTGTTTCGTATGGTAAAATATGGTTGGCTGATCACTGACAAGTGATAAAAATAAAAGAAGTTATATCAACTTCTTTATTGAGTCGTAGATGATGCTTTTAAGTATGCTCTTATGTTTAAATTTATTTGTAAATTATGTATAATAGTTTAATGTCGTACTATACACACGTGTCCATAATTTAATACATGAATATAGAGAACTGTAGGCGAATAATCGATGTCTAACGCAACAACTTGTAGGATTTGACAAATCAAAGCCATAAAAGTCTTTAGTGAGAAAGATACATACAGTTGTTGAAAGTAGGGGAGAGAAGGGAGGGAAAGTGCTTACCAATACCCAGGCAGACAGACCTGTCAGTGTGGAATATGTCCACCTCGAACTGTGATGTAACACTCACAACGTCATTATTGGTGACGTTTTCTAGCTCACACCTCTAGTAATTGTGTTCGTTATTAAGTTTCGAACACGTGTGTATTATATTCTATACGTAGTTTATGTAAGTTAAATTATATTTATTAAAAAAAAAAACTACATACTACCTNATCTTTAAGGAAAAAAACCACACATTGTTACTTTCTGTAATTGCTAGAGGGCCCCACATAATATTAATATTATGTTACGGGCCCTACCATTGCTTTGAGGGATTCACACGGATTTACAAAACACTATAAGCTTTTCATAAGGCTTACTTGCATATTTATGAGATTTACATATGTTTTACGTATACTTCCACTCATATATGAGGTTTACATAAGGTTTATAAGGGTTTAAGAACATCTGTTTGTACATTTTATGTGGATTTGCAACACTAGATGAGATTTACGTGGATTTATTTAGTCATCAATGAGGGTGGAGATGTTTCCATATAAACTCAACAGATGATAACTCAAATAAAGAAACATTTTGTAAATTTTATTATTCTGATAACATTATAAAAGATTAAAATTTGTTTATATTAAAAAAAATCAATATTTATACACTGACGCGTTATACCTTCATGAGGCTCGGTCATAATTGAATTAGGGGGCCTTTCGTACAGTGTTGACTTCAGACATTTTTTCTTCGGAGGAATTTTTTGGGGGGAATCACCCGGTTTTCTCGACCTCTGAAGGGTTGTTCTGAGCTGCGACTGAGATTATAAAAGATTGGTTTCGGCCCTCCCCTGTTGTGTTGGTACGGCCCCAGGAAATTGCTCTATTTGCCCATAGGACAACGCGCCACTGTATTTATAAATCTTTGTTTTTTTTTCGAAAAATAAAAGCGAATTAATAAAGAAATAATAAATTCCAAGTACTTATTTAAAAAATATTATTTAATATCCCTTATTTAAAAATGTAAAATTCAATCTTAACATAAACAAAAACTGTAAGAATTTTTTAGAATTTTAAAATAAAATTTTTCCAAATGATTCGAAAAATCAATTTTAAAAGGAAATTATAAATGTTTCTATTAAAATAATAATTTTGGAAGAATGTAATTTGCCTTAAATAAACCCCATATACAACCATTTTGATAACAATAACGCTCTTCAAACTCTACGACGCGACGCGACGCGACGCGACTCGACGCGCACCGTAGCATCGCTTCGTATAAAGCGCACAGAATATATATAAATATAACACTATATAATTCAATATTCACTTCTACTAAATTAAATATTCTTTTTTTTTTGTAATTTCATAGAGCAGAACGACCTTGACTAAACAGGATATAGACAATATTCATAAATTTTCGAATAATCTCTGCCAGGAATAATCTTAAAATAACAAAAGATAACTCATAAACTTAATCATATTTTTTCATTATAAGTTATTAACATAACAATTGTATATTATTTATAGATAGTACTGATCATAATGGGTCTTTTATTATTACTATTATTATCCATTTAGGTTTATTATTTGATTAAAAAAATCAATTCATCTTTAATGGAGCACAAAAGCTGTCTAGACGTTTGTTTATTCCCTTTTCTAAGTAATATAAAATGCATTTAATCTATTTTATATTCTGCTAATTTAATGGCATAAAAGATAAATTCGATTTCTAAACATTTTCCTGTGATATTTTATAAGATGTTTAAACAATGAATCGCCAAATTTGTACTCGATTTATTTTATTTATTTAAAGATAAGATAAAGATCAATTGTAGAATTTATAGAAAAGAAGAAGGAAATTTATAAAGACGTATTCTTGTATCCTGTACGAATGTTTTTTTTGTGAGTTTTTTTATGATTTTTTAACCACATAATAATCATTTCTAAATCTCAATGTAATATTTAATTAAATTTACAATTAATTATTACTATACTATCATTTTTAAAGCTGTGTATGTATTTTGGTATGCACCCTAAGAGGAAAGGGTAGGTTTGTGTTTAAAATGACTTTAATATGTCGAATTAAAAGTATTAAAGTATGTTAAATAAAGAAAAGTTAAATTAAAATATTAGAAAATCATTAAATTGTCTTGTGTTTATTTCAGATTTTTATTTAAGGAGGTGGCGCATTCCCCTTTTGTCCCTCGAATAGGTTACCCTTATGCCTATAAGGAGGCAGAGGTGGGACCAACAAGAAAAATGATGTTAACTGAGGCCCTCATTGAGAAACTTCATGTATATTAATATATATATATCTTATATATATGTGGTTATAATACAATATACCTCTAT